CGATGCCATGTTTATTTTAAAGTGACAATGAAAATGAAAGCGAGAAAATGACTTTAAAATGAATATTATTTAAAATATTGCCTCACTTGTGTTTCTAGATTTGGTTCGATCCGTTTTTAACCTGGAACGAGTCAGAATACGCAGGAATAAAACAAATCAACATCGACGCTAAAAGTGCGTGGATACCTGATATTTATCTGTACAACAAGTAAGTCACTATTTTGTAGACGCCGGCCGCAATCATTTGTTCACTTACACGTCAGGTACTCCGCAGGATCTGAAGTGAATAATTGCTTGCCTTGTTGGTTGATAGTGCTGACGCACAGAATGATGGTGCACTGGACAGATTTAAAACCAAGATTGTTCTCAGTTCAAATGGAAGGAACATGTGGCTCGGACCAGTACTCCTCACTTTCTCATGCAAGATTAATGTCAACTTTTTCCCCTTTGATGAACAGGTGAGCATAGCTACCAGTAGGTGGGAGGATATAAGCTATATGTGTCAAGGTTAGCCGGATTCCAAACAGTTTAGTCTGGCGCGGGGTAAATAAATTAGACTATTCAGTTTGGTCCAAGGACAGGTTTCACCCAAGCAAATTGTATTATCTGACACTCACAACAGACATATACCTAAGCTCCAAGTTCTTAAATGCCGTACTGCCCTTGCTCAGAACTCTTTTATGTATAGCGCTACCACCTTTTGGAACTCGTTGTCTAGCAACATTCACATCTCGCCTTCGATTTTCCTTTCACAGTTTAAATCTTCGCTAAAACATTTCTTGTTGGAAAAGTGGCTTGTCAGGGTTGATAAATTCTACATATGTTTGATTCCATTTTAGCCAGATATTTTTATTATCTCATGTTTAATAAAAAAATTTAAAATCTTATTGTAATGTTTCTAGTTGTAAATACGCTGTAAAATGATTCTGAAAACTTCTCCGTGGAGGGTCAATGAATTCATTTGTTATTTGTATTTATTGAATATATATAGATTATAATTTCTGGTTAATGGCTGTTCGTTGGGATATGGTGTTTACTCCAGAAGGGTGGCAAAATGCAAGTGAACATGGTCTGATTCGAGGGTCCCGGCGGTACACGCCTAGCCAATGATTCATACAGCACTCTCTTCCGACAGTCTTGGTGCAGTTTGAAGGGTCATAAAGAAGACTTAAAATCGGGAAGATGTGTTTAATCTATTTAAGCTCACACTTAACGCAGTAATGAATTCATTTAAAATCTAATTTAGTTGTGCTCCATGAAGTTTGGCTCTTGGACATATGATGGTTACAGAGTTGATGTACAAATGGAGAATGACGAAGGTGACATTAAAAAGTTTATCAGCAATGGCGAGTGGGATCTGATAACAATGAAAGTACAAAGAAATGAGTTTATTTACGTCTGTTGTCCTGAACCTTACCCGGATGTGACCTACACAGTCCAGATAAGGAGGCGCACAATGTATTACTTCATGAACTTGATAATTCCATGTGCGCTAATTACGTGTAAGTGTTAGTATATTAATGTTTTTACACACTTATACTGAATGCTAGTGGATTGTTGGCTCTATGCGCGGATAACGTGTGAGAGGTGATACACTGACATAATTACGCGCTAAAAACGTGTAAGTAGCAGTACATTGATGTTTTCATGCGCCGACAACGTGTGAATGGTAAGAAGGTTAAATTTGGAGGTTTTATTGCAATACTTGATGACAAAATGTTTTTCCTATAAAAAGTTACGCATTCATTCGGGTTTTACAAAAGAAACGATCGTTCACAGTGAAATTTGATTACTAGATCATTAATGCAAAGAATAAGGTTAAATGTACTCATCTGTCTAACAAAAAAAGACTTATTTCGAAAGAAAACAAAAACAACAAAACTAAACAAAAAATGCAGTCTCTGAACAAATCTTTAAAAGGCTTCGGGCTTCAACTGCAGCCTCAATCACTATGTAACCACGCAGGGTCGTGGTTTGAACTTATCTGGTCTCCAATGAGAGGCCATTGTAATTACAGCATGCTGTCCATGACAAAATGACAGCTCCGCCGTCTTATATCTCGTGTTATAGCGAGCGTCTCACTACAGATTTTCTGTACAGATACGTTTTTATTTTTTCTTATGGATCATTTGATATTTCCCTCTCTCCCTTTTTTTTTCCTATTTTAGCCCTGACTCTGTTGTCGTTCTTTCTCCCTCCTGATTCTGGTGAACGCATTACACTGGTGATAACCAGTTTGTTGGCTATGACTGTGTTCATGCTGATAGTGGCCGAAATCATGCCTGCCACTTCGGAGGTCGTCCCACTGATTAGTATTTACTACACTGGAATCATGTTCGAGGTAACTTAAGTACGAGCCAATAACATAACCTCGTCGCCGTCATGTAACCTCACTGTAAAACGTGTTATCAGGCCCTGGCTACATCAAACTCAACTGGTGGAAGACCAGGGGCATGTAACACTGAACCAAACCTCTCAGCAGCTCTTCCCTTATCTTCATTCATTCATTCGTTCGCTCGTTCGTTCATTCCTTTATTCATTCATTCGATCATTCATCCACTCACTCGCTCATTCTTTACTCATTCCTTCCACTAGCGCTATAATATTCCATGAATGAATTTAATATTCGAAAGTTAAATCTTTTGGGTAATTGTAGATTTCCGATTCATCTCTGCATTCTACATGCGCTGAATGAGCATTGAATTCACACGCGAGACAGCGATAAAACTTCTACCTGCTCAGTTTTCTTGAATTTGATGAAAATGTCTTCTTCAAATGTTTTTTATCGTACAAAATTCACCGCTCATTACACATGTAGGAACACAAATTTGAATTTGATTCTGCTTGCGGTAACGACTAATGCACCTATCAATGTAAACCCCGTGAGGGGGGAGTGCGGGCAATGGGTGGGGATTTGACAAATTTTGAAATTTTTTGATCGAATTCCCCAGGGCGGGAAACGAAAGGTTGATCAAAAGTGTCAAAAAAGCCCCCACCCCAGGGAAAAAATCTAAACAAACAATACTATAACACTATATAAAACAAATTAAAAGAACATTTCAAAAGTGCGTTCTTACTACTTTTATTTATGGTTAACGTAAGCTCCGTTTAATTACTCGCTGTAATTAAGTATTTTCTCTCTCCACTAGCATCTCCTATTTTGAACAACAAAATCACTCCAGGAAGATTGACTGTGCTATTATTGCCCCCGCAGGGTTCCGGCCCAGAGGCCGGAACCCGAGGAGGCACCCTAATGTCCCTCGCGTAAAGAAGAAGTATCGTATCGTCTTACTGTTAGGATGCAAAACTTTCCCGATTTGATGAAACTAGGCGCGCACGGTGGTCCCGGTTAATTTTCAGCATGTGCGCCTGGCTCAGCAACCGCGCAAACTGGGTTTGTCAACGAGTCGCATTCGGAATCTCCAAATCCTCGCCCAGGAAGATTTTCCACCGAAACTCCTCTAGAGCGAGAACGCCGACTTCAAATTCAGCGTGAACAACGAAGGAGAAGACGTCAACAAGAAACCGCGGAGTAGAAGGAACATCGATGAGCACAGCGAAGGCAACGCCGACAACAACAGACAGAGGAACAGGAGATTGGAATCAAAGGAATTATGATCGTTTTACACTGTCGAAAACCCAGATTTCTTAGTTTGCCGGTTTCCCCGCAGATATATAGATCAAAGTCTGCAAAGTTTCAGCTCCGTATTACGGCCCGAATAATAATAATTTTCAGGCGAACTGCACCGGGCCATATTTGTTCTTTGTTTTTATCTTTTTCTAAATGCGGGCGGCGAAATAATGCTAAATCTGCTTTTCAATACACTGTTAACAATAACACTACATAATACGCAAAAAGGAAGAAGAAGAAGAAAAGAAAGAACAACGCATGGACCTTTAACACGATATTCGCGGTTGGTCACCCGTCCAGTTCGTAACCCCGACCGACAGGGCTTAACTTGAGTGCCGTTACCAAACCGAGTTTCGCGAAGGTTATTGCGAGATACATATTTCTATAGAGTTAAAAAGTTATTCAGCAGTACTGCAATTGTTTGGTATTAAAGAACTTCATTTGTCGGACACAAATCAGCATCGTGGATCGACAGAACTTTGAACTGGTTTTGTCAACGTGGATCGACAAACTCGATTCAAACCACATCAGGAATAGCTCAAATTTTTCAAAACCCAGTCAAAGACAAGAAAGGTGCTAACGTGAAATAACCGGGTTTTGTTCTATATTAAGGTAGTCAGGGTTTAATAAACAGTGGTCCATGTGTTTTTAGGGTTAGTTTATTGCGAAATGCCGATTATTTTATTTGATACAAGGACATGCCAGAAAAAATGAACTAGGAAATATCTCAAAGGTGAGAAACTTGAAACAGTGGCCCATGTTTTTGTAGGGTTAGTTTATTGCGAAATCATTTATATCAGTTGCGTTCGACGTTGCGTTCAAGAATGTCACACTCGAAGCCAAAGCATCCGTTCGACACATTAGTTATAGGAAATTTAGTTACAAATAGATAATTAAAGATGCTTTTGCTGTTTAACACGCGTTCTATTACATTTGCAGTGTTGGTTGAACTCATTATGAGATGTATTAAAAACAATTGTCCATCCTAGGCATGTCATGTATGAGGATTTTCATTAACCCAGGAAACAAAGTGTAATAATTGAGAAAACACAAAAGAGAACAAAAGAATTACACTCAGAAACTCTAATACGAAAACTGCATTTCAAAGGTTCATGGCAAATACATGGACAACCACAAGGAGTCTTCATTCGGGTTTTAAAAGGTCGGGGGCAGATTTAGTGACAACTATAACTAGTGATATTAATGAAACGTAAAATGTTTTATAACATCTGCTCAACATGTCGGAACAGGTCGGATCAGTGACCCCGTTATAAATTCTCTGACTTTCATGGTGGAATTCGATTTCAATCGAGTTTTACAATCAGATGGGAACTTGAAGATAAAATTTTTCTCAAAATAGACATTATTAACTTCATACCTTTCTCCAACAGCGTGACTTTCAGAAAGCCTCGAGGGACGGACTTGGTAACCGCTTCTGAATTGATACCAGGCTTCTGTCGGTCAAAGTCAAATGTCCCGACCCCGGGGTCGCTTCGCACGATCAAAAGCCCGACAGGGGGATAGTCTCAGGCATCAAATCCCCGCCCCTTGCCCGCACTCCCCCCTCACGGGATTTACATTGATAGGTGCATAACGGACTCATTTTTCAAATAATCGATTCATTAATTGAATCTATGGGGGTACGCTTGACCTAGTGCGACTGCAATTCATTTCACTTCTCTAATATATCTTATGATGAATACAAGTGTGGAATGAGGCATCACATGTTTATCTTCTTTTTAATAAAATAATCTATTATAGGTCGCTCTTTCCTTGATTGCAACATGCATGGTGTTGAAATGCTACTACAATAACCCTGCTGTCACAGAAATGCCCGAATGGATAAGAGTTATCGTCTTAAATTGGCTCGCAAAAATTGTTCGCGTCAAAGTTCCAGCAGGACTCATAAACGCCATGGAAAAACACGTTCAAGAACAAGAAGAAGTACGAGAGGAAATTGAGTTCGAGAGACGAAACTCAATCATTTCCCAGCCCACTACGCGTCAAAGGTGTTTCAGTTCCCCTGGAGACTTCCAATCAAAGCCTTGCACCACAAGTTCACCATATTGTGTCAGAAGTCGCTCGAGGACGGTATCGTCAGAGCCAAGAGAATCTGGTTTTGAAAGGGAGGCCTTGTCGACAACTGGACTTCCTAAGCTATTTCACAAGTTTGAGAGCAGCTTGCAATCCATTGATGAAGAGGAAACAAATTCATGGGCACCGGCGTTGTCTGCACCCAGTAATGCTGCACATTCAATGGAGGTCATCACGAAAGAGGCACTGCTCAAACAAGACATACTATTAAATAATGTACGCAGGCTCGTGCATGTTACGAGAAAAAAAGAAAAGAATGACATTAAGAGAGAGGAATGGAAAATCGTCGCCTCCATTGTCGATGCCTGTTTCTTCTGGCTTTTTATGGGAGCTCTTCTTATTTCCACTCTTGTCATTTTTCTACAGGCTCCAAGTTATTAAATAATCTGTATCCGAATAATGAAGTCGAACTCATGTGCTTAACAGGTGGGCCATTAGGGTAGTTAGGTATTCTCTCCTAAAAACCCTCGAATGCAGAGGTCCACTCAACGCGTAAATAATATCAACTGGTTCTTTCTTGTCAGATCTCTAATATAGAGAAGCCAGAGCCAGACGTCACTTGAAGTGGGAATTAAACCAAAACTAAAGTCAAGGCTGGCAATACGGCAAAGGTCTGATTTATTGCTAGCCTTGCATTCAGTTTTACCCTCTTCTGCCACCGCAGTACTTTCAGATCCCATGTAAAGGAATCCAAGACAGTCTTGGATTCTGGATTCCTTGCCACGGATACTGAATACCAGTTACTAGATTCCAGCCTTTAACAATAGAAAGTGGATTCTGGATTCAAATCGTCAATTGGATTCCTAATTCTTTGAGCTGTATTCCGGATTCCAAAGCCTAGGATTCTGGATTTCACAAGCAAAAATTGCCCGGATTCTGCATGGGAATCTGGATTCCCTTACATGGGGCGATTCAGAACAAAAAGGAAGTTTGACTCTCCTCATTTCACTTAGTAATTATATTTGTTAGAATAATACCGCAAAGAAAACCTTGTATTCTCACAACAAAATTAATCAAGCCACTTTTTCAGTCAAAATTACACAATATGCTCATAATAGAAATTTAACGAAAGTAACTGACCGCAGGCATTATTACCACAATGATGATGACGATAATAGCGGAGCTCTCGCGCGCGAAACGCGCAGCAGAGCACCATGGATAAGAAAATGTGGTAAACTACCCATCCGAGAAAATTTGGTAATCAAGTGACTGTACACCGACCTCCCGACCGTCCGTCTGCACCACAGGCATACCAATGTAAAATAACTCAATCAACAGGTATGGCAACCCAAATGCAACTCGAGGTTATTTTGACGGGAAATCGCATAGCCACCCGCGTCTTGTAATTAAAGCAGAAACAACTAAAGAGTCAATGAAGTGGAAAATGGAAAGCGGAAATTGTTTCTGTATCCGTGTTTTCTAAAGTGTTTGTTACCCTTGTTTCATGCGTCTACAAATAAACCGTAAAACATCTTTACACTTCACATGCTTCACATGTTTATTCCGTTTCTTTTTATCTCGTCACTCGTTCAGCTCGCGCTCTCTTTTTTGATAACGCGGATAAGTACGTCATACACAAGACTCGTTTCCGTTTCCGGTTGTTTTGTTTTTAGTACAATCTCTACTTGTAACATATTAAGCTTAGATTAATTGTCATGTCCACAAATTTGGAATATAGAGCAAGAGAAACACAGAGAAAAAGCCTAAAGTAGGCGGCAGGCCAACGAAGCTCAACGAGAAAAAGGGCGACAGAGATTTAGAGCGAGAGATAAAAAACAAAGGAGACATTTTTTTGTTGGAAGAACAACATGAAAATTTTGTAACGGCGGTGACAAAGTGAGAAATGCTAGCGGCCACCAATGCAAGGTGAAAATGAGCGGCAGTGAAAAAAAAGTGAACGAAAAAAACGTGGAAGTTTCACGTTGTAGTCGTGCAAAACAACGGCAAAGAAATGTACAAGAAAAGTGTGCTGCACGTGCAAAGTTACTTTTTTGCTAATTAGACCTATTGTTGTTTTTCACCGTTCTCCGGCGTTGCCGTCGCCGCTTAGCATTACATGATTTTATATTTTGTTGGAGCAAACTATATATATTATCGAGAGCTTCGCTTTTAGCCCTGGCTAAATCTATATATTAATGATGATATATGAGTTGTGGCGCTTACACCATCTAAGTGATAAATTGCCTTTATGAACATGATCTAACATTCAACAGTATTGTTTATCACAATGTACCTTACTTCAACGCGGGATATGTTTTTATTTACTGTATTTTCTATATGAGAAGAAACTTAACTTACTATCATTTAGTCCAGCATCAGACCTAACTCTTACAAAGCGTGCAAAGAAGCTTGTATCTTACAAAAATGATTTAACATGTATTTCTTTCAATAAGAACCGATCAATTCCACTTAAATGATTCTCTTAGAGAAACGACATGATAACATTAGTAAAAGGCATACACTTTCGCCAAACTTCTTACATTCCTTATACAATAATTTAAACTTTCATATCTTTTATAAATCTCTTTTCGATAACATTGCCCTAGAAACGAATGTGAAAAAGGCTAAAGGCCAAACAGGAATTAATAAGGCATTAAAGGGAACCTCCACTCTTACTACAGAATAAGTTTAAATCGAATAAAATTATGTTGATAAACAAATTTGTTCGAAATTTGTCCTTTAAAAAAGTGTTTATATCAGGAAAAGTGAATTTTAAAATCGCTTATTTTCTCTTTCAAATTTCGCGGGCGCCGCCATCTTGAATAATTGTGACGTGTTACGGTTGCTCTATTGTTCTGACACAAGGAGCTTTTGTTTAATAACAATAGGGTAACCGTAACACTTCACAATTATTCAAGATGGCGACGCCCGCAAAATTTGAAAACAAAAATAGGCGAATCTAAAAGTTATTTCTTTCTGATACAAACGCTTTCTTTAAAAATATTTTAGATTGACTTGACTGTAACAGTTATTTCCTGTGATTTAAAGTTATCTTTTTGTTGAAGTGGAGGTTCCCTTTAAAAAGCTACTTTTAAGACGCTTGTGTTGTATCCGATATACTGCTGAAAGCTATAAATTACAAGTCAACCGACTCCTATTAATTTTTCTCTTATTTGTTTTTCAGTTTACATTCATAAGACAACGTTATTGCAAAAAGGAAAGCCTTATTGCTGTCACTACTGTCATTTAAAACTCTTCAAATTTTTCAAATTAAGCAGAAAAGTTTTGTATCCCTCACCATGAGGTTCCTGCAGTAAATATCAGAAGAGTTGAACCAATCATTACAACTACGAACACATACAAAAAAAAAGTGTCCAATATTTCCGCCACCAGGACCCATTCCTCCCGTTTTGAATCATGCTCGTCCTGTTCTTCAACAGCTTCAACCAATGTCTTAACATAGTCCACCAGATGATCCTGCCGATGCAGAAGCGCGCCTATCAAGAAGGTTTGGGACTGAACGTTGGTGTTCACTTCGGCCTTTTCGCTTAAAGGATTCTCGCACCAGGACTCTCTCCTTAGCGACTGACGAGATGGGAAGCGGCATAGATTCTTGACAGGCAGCCCAGGTCCCAAGTGAAGCATATCCACAGTCAGTTCATGACACGCCCCGCACGGAGGTACGCTGGGCTCAAGCAAGTTAATGTTCCCTGCCGTGTTTCTGCGACTTGAATGACTGTGATGGCACAAGTTAAGATTCGGATCCAGCGACTCAGCCATGGAAACGGGTCGCTTAGGTTTGTTGTTTGACTCGCCTTTTTTTTGGCCCAGATAGTTTTGATTCTGAGAGCTGAAATTTGGACCCGTCTGCTCCGCCAACGAATCAGGGCGTTTTGGTTTAGCGTTTGGTAGGCTATTTCTTTGGCCTGACAAGATTTGACTATAATTGTCGAAATTTGGATCCAACGCGTCTGCCATGGACTTGCGTCTGGACCTTCTACCTTCCTCAACAGGTTTTCCTTTTTTCTGTGATTTTTTGCGTTCTCTCTTTGCTTCAATCTTTAACAGCTGACCTAGTCCTTGAATAACTAACTGGCGGATCCAGAAAGGAACTTCTGAGAAGGCTGGGTTTGTGAAGTAACACTTAAGTACTATACAAGTAGCTATTAATGACAAGCCAACCTATTGAGAGAAATAGACGTTTAAGTGGTAAAAATATTTTCAAAGACATGATCATGGACCAAAATAACTAAAATCGTTTCAAACTGGTTATACTAGCCAAAGAATAGAACGAATATATATAAAAAGTTAGTGAAATTGATCCAGCGGATAAGGTCGTAATTTGGATATCCCTCAGTCGCTAAAGCGACTGCCAAAACCAGTACTGAGGTTGTGAGCATTTTCATGCTCTAAGCTACTCCTCGTGGTGGAGGCTACAAGGCAGTTGGTTCAGAAGAAAATAAAGACTACTTTCCTTTCTTAATAAGAATCTAAACTAATTCTACAAGTTTTAGAACGTCCCGGTATCGCGAGATACTTACGGTAGCCTTAGTTGGAATTTAAATTTAATACATTTCCTCTTCCCTTATGGGGCTTTCAGGGATAATGAAACAAAAAACTCAAATGGAACATGACATGGTTAAGAATCCCAACTGGCAGGAGGCGAAATAGCTTACTCTTTTACAATCATGGCCATGGATTTCAACTCAGAAAAACCGAGAACAAATCTAGCTATCGGTCAGGGTAGGACATGAACTCGGAGACTCCGTATTACAAGTCTTAAAGAGAACGTAAGAAGGCTCCAGCTAGAAGAGACGAGCGGCCAAAGACCCTTAAATCTGCAAAACCCCAAACTCCCGAAGCTTACAATTTTCTATGATCAAACTTATGAGGCAAACACTCTTAAAAGACTTTTTCTCAACTTTAAAAATGAGATGTAGCTCTAACTTTGCGCTTTGCTTTGTAAAAAATTTGTTAAAAGAAAAAAAGTTGCTGGACAGTTAGCAATACCTACCTCTATCAATATACTGGTGAAATATACACTGATAAGTGGTACTACTTCTGATGTCGCGGGTAAAATGTCTGCTACAATCAGCATGAACACTGTAAGGGCCAACATGTTAGTTATCACCAAGGTGATTCTCTCTCCAGCTTCAGATGGAAGGAAAAACGAAAGTAGAGACAAGACTAGAGAATAAATGAAAATATGATATCAACTTCTCACTCTATTTTGGATTCCCAAGTGTAAAATATTGAACAAAATCAACTTTTAGCTTTTGCTTGTCTTGCAAGGTGAACCGAAATTTTAAGATGTAAGTAAATATGGTGAAAGCGTTAGTTAAGGTTACCGGACACCTTCAGGGGTGTCTAACGCGCAAGTTATTTAGAGCGTTCCAGTTTTTTAAAAAGTGCTCCTCGTACTTACGCGTTATGAGAAAACAAGGAACAATCAAGTTGACGAAAAAGTATGTTGTCCTTCGTCGTATTTTCAGGGTACAAGTAACATCAGAGTAAGGCTGTGGACAGCACTCATAAACCTTTGTATTTCGTTTACAGGGAAATCCAAGTAATTCCCACTCGCCGTTCACTTGTGTTGTCTTAAGATCTGCACTTGAATTCTCAGCTTTGATATCTACGCGCCATGCGTCGTACGTCCACGATCCGAACTTCAGATTACAGGCCTGCCAAAGAACAAACTATTATCCTGAAGCGAACATGATATTTGTGTCAACAAAAATTAGAACTGTGTTGTTGGTACAGTTAGAAATATTTTCTGGGGTTAAAAATATGAAACTGAAAACAATCCTTTTCAAGAGGTGGAAAGATCAAATAGTACTACTACTTCTACTGTGTTCTTTATGTCGATGGCCCAAATCAACACCTTTGACAGTTGTAAGCTTACCTGCTCGTCAAACGGGAAGTAGCGAACATTAATCTTACAGGAACTTTTAAGCATCAATGGCGCCAGCCATTGATTGGTTCCATTATGATCTACTTTGACTTTTGTTTTCATTTTATCCAAGGAACCATCGTGGTCTTCATCGGCACTGAAAGTCGATATTAAACATGAAATGAATAAACACAAGCACCGGGATAGCAAGAAGGATAGCCTGCGAAAACATTCGTTTCTCCTCGCTCTTCGCCGCTGGGGACGTTTCGCACGGAAGAAGCGGCGAAGAGCGAGGAGAAACGGATGTTTTCGCAGGCTACAAGAAGGATCAATAATAATAATAATGATAGCGGAGCCGTTTGCACGGCGGAACCTAAAGTAAAAAAAAAAGTAAAGTAAAGTAAAACTTAATTTACACAGGGTATCCCATACAGCCATAAGGCTGCAGGTCTCCATAGGGTCCCTGTATATTTGAAAATTAATCTACATTAAGAATTATCATAAACTATTACATTTAAAGAGCCTTATAGAAATACAATAATAGAATTTAAGAACTACATTAAAAAGCCTAAAAATACAATGCAAAATCACTTTCAAAGCCTAAATTATGAAAATATATCAAAGCTGTGATAAAAAGAAATGCCTTGCTCGGCAGCAGATCGTCTAAATGTTTTCACTCTTCTCGATGTTTAAACGGAGTTTGTTTAAAATCGTTGCGCCAGCAATCAGAAAGGTCCTTTTCCCAAAATTCTGTTTAACGTTTGGTAGGGATAGCCTCATACTTTGCCTTGTGGAATAATTGCGAATGTTCGAAACTCTAGTGAAAAATAATGAGAAATAACTAGGAACTAATGAGTGAAGACAGAGAAAAACGAGTTTAGCCTTGTGGTAAGAGCGTCTGCTGGAAAGAGTCGGCCAGTGTAGCTGCTCTATTTCTTCAGATGAAGGAGAGCAACGTGTGATAATCCCGGCAGATCTATTCTGTAGGCGCTGTAGTCGATCTATATCTTGTTATAGAAGGTTACTCCAAGCAATGTCACAGTAATCAAATAATGAAAGAACTAAAGTGTTATGAAGAAGTGTTGCTGCCTCTTTTGTGACGAAACTTCTGACACGGCCCAGTACGTTTGACGCCACCTTTTTACACACATATTCATAAAGTTGTCGAACACCACGCCTAGGTATTTAAAAGTAGTTTCGCAAGGTACGGACTTTCCGAGAAGATTAAGTTTTAAATTGCAATCGCGCTCTTTATGCCTTTGAGATGGACCCCTGCGGCACTCCAGAAGTTATAGCTAGCTCTTCAGATGAATGAGAATCAATGTGCACGAACTGCTTTCTTCCAGAAAAAAAAAAAAAGTAGTTCGTCATCGCATACACCATAATACTCTAATTTGCTAAGCAACGAAAGAGCTCCAATGAAGTTCATTGTTCGTCCTCAATGCCAGATTATGTAAGTGATCTCTTTTATTCATTAGTTGTTTCACCTTGCGTGTCAGCTATGGTACCTTTTGTCCCCTGACTCGCACGCGGATTCTTGGGGCATGAGAATCGTCGACTTAACCAACAAAAAGCTGTTTAAATGAGTCCCATGAGTCCTCAACACCCGCGAAGGAATTTATTAATGACCATGGAACTTTGTTTAGATCTTCAATGAAAGCATCACGATTGAAACGCTTGAAATAACTACAGGAATTGGAAACCTATCGATGCGAGAAAATGTGGTAATGACGTCAGCAAACACCCGCCCGTCCGCCCGTACAGACTTTCAGGGAGGGATTAAGAAGATTCTGCCAGGGAGAGGCTATAAGATACAGCTTGCTTTTTTATTGGCGAAAGTTAACCTGTTCACCCAGAGGCAGCCCATGGAGTTGTTCCAGTAAAAATCTTTTTTTTTTCTTTGGTTTGACTTATGACCAAAGAACTTTTCAAAATATATTTTGAAATGAAGGCTTTGCTTTTCCCTGGGTCGCTATTCTCAGATTAGTCAACGTTTTGGCAGGTGTATTTACGTGAAAACTAGCGCAGCATCTTCACTGAAACATTGTGTAATTTTATATTTTTGTGTTCTTTCAATGCTGCAACAGTATGAAATACAGCTTCTATCAAGATTCTGGTTTAATGGTTTGTTTATATATGTGTGGTTGAATAAAGCTTCCAGTCAACGCAAAGAAAACTTGTCCAATACTATGCACTGAGGACGGTCGACAAGATACGAAGTGAACCACTGAAGAACTAGGTTGGAAAAGCCATAACAAAATCGTAAACTCTCAAGAAGGATTGCGTGATCAATTGTGTCGAAGGCAGCGGAAAGGTCGAGTAAAACCAAAATGGACTGACACTGATCATCAATAGCAGGCTGTATGTCGTTAATAACACTAATTAGTGCAGTCTCCAGTGCTTTGATACTTCCTGTAGGCCGGCTGCATCTTGGCATAAAGACCATTGTCATGGAGATATTCATCGATTTGAGAGGCGACGATTCTTTCAAGTGTCTTTGACAGGAACGAAAGATTGGAAATAGGCCTGTAGTTACTAAGCTGGTCGGAGTCAGGAGTTTCTTTCTTGTTATAAGAGGACGAACAATCGACTCCTTGAAATCAGAAGCAAAAAAGCCTCTCTCAAGAGACAAGTTCATAATGATGGTTATGGTCGGTAGAAGGACATCGACGCAGTTTTTTAGAAGCCATGTCGGAAGTGGATCAAGAGAGCAGGATTTAGGTTTTGAAAAAATGGATGATTTTTTTAAAGTCGTTATCGGAAGTACGCTAAAAATCTGTTAGAGAGCTCCGGCAGGACTCGGCCGTTAAATCGAATTTAAATCGTGGAACAGGTTGCAGAGAGAGACCGCACCTCAAGTTGATAATTCTAGATTCAAAACACTCAGCAAAACTTTCGGCAAGAGTCTCGAGGAAATCATGTTTTGGTAAAGCAGGAGCACATTTGATGTTGAACAATTCATCAACACACTTGAAAAGTTGCTTCTGATTCGACGCCTCGACCTCTTTCTTGTAATAGCTGGCTTTAGTCGCTCTTATGGAACGGTTGTGTTTACGACAAATATCTTGATAGATATGCTTATTAACTTTAAGGCGAGTGGACAGGTATTTTCTCTCATAGCGCCTTCTTTCCCGCCTCAGTTCTCTCAGGTCGTCCGTCAACTTAAGGGAGAATGTGATTTTACAGTAATTGTCCTGGTTAATAGTGGGGCATGCTTGTCGAACAGGGAGCGAAGCGTTTTTTCATATGCAACGATTTGCTCGTCAAAGCTAGTAATGTTGTTATTGTCCGGCGAAGATTTTTTGATATCACTTCGAAAAGACTGCAGATAGATATCACGAGTCTTGTGATAGGTAGCACACCGACGGGATGCTGGAGGACGAGGTAGATTTCTAGTACTTGGCAATTTAAAACAATTAAAAATCATTCAAAGGCCAGTGAAAGGCCTTTCATGTCTGACGCCGGGCAGTAAGTTAGTGCATTTCATCGTGTCCAAATTTAAAATCTTTTCAGTAATCTGGCTCCGTGAAGTTTCAAACCGGTATCATTTCAGTCTAGAAAGTTGCGTAAAATGTGGTCAAAAAGTGACTGGTTAAGGCTTACATAACAACTTAAATAGCTAACCAAATACTACTTTTTTTTCTAGGGCCGATAAATGACAGGATTACAGGATTTCGCATGGAATAGACAACTCTGAAACACTGAGACACAAATTATCACCTTCCGGATCTGTAAAAACCGGCCTATTGTTCGAAGCCAAGAGCCCGCTGAAACTAGACCTAGATCCCATTTTTTTGAGTCGAGAATTGGTTTTTACCTTAGTTCTACCAGTCAACACCATCCGGAAATAACACAATCATACACTTTCCAAGCACTGATAAGACTATCCACAAACACGCATAATCTTTTCACGTTTAATACAAGCGAAATATCAAATAAAAAACTCGGCCTTTTGGCAGAAAAAAACACTTCTAGACTTTTCCCTTACACTTTTGTTATTCAAGTTTCCCGGATGTAAAGTCACACGGTCGGCAGACTAGCATAGACTCTGTTTTCACACCCGACCCCGCCAGGGTCAAAGATCACCTGCATTTTTGCTCTCGCCTAATTGATTTGACGCCTAGAACCCTCGATGGTCACCTTAGCCTGCGAATACAGCAGTTTAGGCCATGGTCACCTTGCAAAAGCGAACAATTCTCAGCCCCGATCACGGTCATTGATCTGTTTAGGGTACTATATTGGATGATGCAGACTCTGCTAATCGTATTAGCTTTGTCCCATCTCAGAGCTTTACATGATGCTCTCCGGAAAACTTTTCTCAAGGTGACCAACAACGAAATATAAACGGTCCCGAAACTAGCTTTAGGTGCGCCCTGATTTCAAATAACTGTGACCTGTGTTAGAGACTGAGAGAATTGTGGGTAGGGACCGTGAAAAATACCAAAGATAGAGGGGGGAGGAGGGTTATATAGAAAATCGCGAAATTCTGTCTACAGCCCCTTCTACACAAATCCCTAACCACGAAATAACCAAGAAAAATATGAGACATAAGCAAACAACGCAGTAAACAAGCTAAGACAGGGGAAGTTGAGAGAAATTACCAAATGTTTGTTAACCCGGTTTTCAAAAATCCTGGTAGATTTAGATTTGGGGTTACGTATTTTAGTCTAAAAAATGGACGTTAAGTTTTGCTGTGTCTTTATCAGATATAACGACACTCAATAGACATTAATTTCTTTTGTTTTTTTTTTCTTTATGAATTATTGATGAGTTTTTGAAAATGCTCCTGATACTCGCTGAAAATAAAATCGAAATATGAAAGACTTCTTCTTTCTTCTAACGACAGACGCACCGGATTTTCGAGCCCGAGTGTGCTTTGGGTGCAGGATGTAGCGGACCGTGGGCTCAAACTCAGAATTTTTTTCTGGGTTCGTTGTGGTTGACTCTCATCTACGTGATTTTATAATAATTACTGAAATAATGAACATGCATCATCGTGATTACGATGAAGTGAAGGCTGTACAACAAAGGAGTTATATGACATGCCTAGCTTTCCATAAAATTAATCTAGCTGCAGAATATTGCATCAGTTTTTATTGTACAATCAAAGATGACTATGCCGTACCTAGGTTTTAACAAGAAAAAACCCTTCGAGAAAAGCATTAGTTTAATTTAGAATAAGTAGTCATCAACTTAGAATTGAAACAGGTAGATACGAAAAAATCCCTCGTACTGAAAGGATATGTTCCTTTTGTCGGCAGTAACAAAATTGAAGATGAAAATCATTTCCTACTAGATTGTAAGGCTTATTCTCAGATCAGATATTTTTCTCCAAACTAGAAACTGAAATAACTGACTTCAAATCACTTTCACACGATACTTTAATATCTCTTCTTATGAATTCTTCTGATTATTTAGTGAACTGTCAATTAGTTTCATTTATCTTGCAATGCTTTGAATTAAGAACCAAATTAATATCAATGAATGAATGAATGAGAACTGTAACGTCTTGTAATGTTTTGCACGTACCAATTAGTTGAATTAGTACTTAAAATTAGACTAATAGCTTTTGCAGTGCTGTAATTCCTTTACGGTCATGCAATAAAGCATTTGGTGTTGTTGTTGATAGGCTGGCAAGCCATAAAGTTAGCCATTAAAATAATCAACACGGCGAGAAAAAATGCTTGCATGAGTGGAAGATTTTTGTTAGTCAAAGCATAGGTAATAACATTCGCCCGTAAAACTTGTAAAATGCCAAAAAAAAACAAAAACAATAATACCATGGGCTTACTTGTTATAGAGGTAGATATCAGGTAACCAAAGTTTTCCTGGATCAATGTTTATTTCTGTAATCCCGCCAAAATCACTCACGTTCCAGCGTAATAAAGAATTGACCCATTTCTAAAGATAATGAAAAATACAGCATTATTGACCTAAATAATGATAATGTCTGTGATAACACAAGTCCATAATGCGGTAATTACGGATGGTAAATACCTCTTACATGCACAAGGGCAAACTAAGAAGATACTGAATAGCCTTGGGCAATGTTTTATATCTGAGAGAGTTTTTAAAATAAGCATTTCCGACTGGAGTTACCCCGAAGCCCTTATAATTTCTGCTCTTTCTCAAGGCACGTGGTGCATGGTTAATTAAATTTACCTACAAACTTCCAGCCCCTAAGCTGAAATGCGCCATTTACGCGATTAAATGCCGCAGATTGAAACAAAACTACCAATGAACGCCGCGGCACTCACTACAGTTGTAGTCACGATATAAAACAAACTTAAACTAACCTGTCTAATCCAAAGACTCAGTTTTAATATCTGTTCTCTCTCGACCTGAAGCGTAAAGGGAACCTTACATAACATCTATAGCAATTTTGATAATTCTTTTATATGGGCTGATTTTTTTTTCTGGTCGTCCTCTATAGGGGTACATATTAGAGATATAGGTATATTCTAGTTGTTGATATACGGTTTTAGACAAATAAGCAAGAATAAGATGATGGCCCTTGGTCTCTGAGTCAACAGAAAATATCCATCCTGTCCTGCCTTCCGCAAGCCAACGAAAAGGTAAACTCTTTCGGAGATCATGCACAGAAAATCCATCAAACATCCTTAGTTATGAAGACAGGCCAACTAATTTTTTAACATGCCACGGCTGATAACTTAACAAAATTATGTAAAAAGGATTATCTGTACATACCACATCTACTATTTGATTTAATGTTACTCCGAAGGTGACTGTAACATTGTCTGTAATCCTTAGTACAGGCCGGTGATCTTTACTGTGCATGTGTCTTGATAGGAAGCTTGTTAGCATTTCTTCGTAAACGCCATCATTGTCTAACATAAAGGTTCATGAATTAATTCTAACAAGAGATCATAATTATTAAAAGTACTTTCCTGAAGAACACTCGTGAGATGTAATGCGTTGGATTAAGTAAGTGAAAACGTCCAGTGGAAGTCCAAACGTCAAGTTGAAACTGGATACAAACGCTCTAAGATTAAAACATATAAAAATATAAGACTTTTGCTGAGTTTGATGCGGTTGGTTACTGAGTTGTATCACCGCCAGAGATCCCCCTTTCGTGAAGTTAGCATTTATTTTCCCGTCTTAAATGATGTTGGTGCCGGGAAAAACCTTGGGGACTTACAGTTTTTTTATTTTGGTCATTAACTGTTAACTGCATGCTATCTTTACAATATAATTTACTGAAAAAGTTGCCACAACAAATCATACCAAAAGTTTAACAAGGTGAAAGTTTCAATAGCTCACCTTGAACGTTTTCCCCGATATCTGGCGTCGCATAGCAACAGACTGCCAGGAATAACAAAAGGAGCCACATATATCACACTTGAAGTTGCTTACAGCGGGTTTCTGCGAGAAAAAAAGCTTTGCTGACTGTAACACACACAGGAAGTTTTAAATTGCAAAAGCAAAACATCGAGTGTTGTATTTTTCCTTACAATGGTTATGCAAAATTTTGAGGAATAAACGAGGTGCATTATGGTCTATGTAAAAATGGTGAATTGCACGCAAGAGCTCACGCGCTCAAATCAGGCCCCTATCCGGCTTCCCCTGTGTTTTTGCGCTCTTTTTTTGGCAGATTTCTTTGCCTTCATTGCTCGACTAAAGCCTGGTTCTCATATGCCGCCGATGCACCTGCGACATAACCGCCGGTACTGCCTGGGATACTGTTCCGATATGAGAACATAAGTGGCCGGCAACAATGGTCATCCCAGTCTTTATCGTTGGCATGCCTGCGAAGTTGTCGCAGGCATGCCGGCGGTAAAGCTCTGCGATGGCTCTAGTTGCCGGCGGCGCGTGTTCTCATTCGTCCGGGAACAGTAGGCCAGACGGTACCGGCGGCTACGTTGCAGATACATCGGCGGCATATGCCGAACCAGGCTTAACGTTGTAAACTTGATTGGAATGGCAATACGATCATCGCTTTCCTTTAATCTCTAAGATCGTCGCTGCATCAATAGCGATAGCCCCGACTTCGATGTCATCGGAAATACACATACAGAGGCTCATGACTGAATGAAAACCCCCAACTGGCAATCAATAAAGAGAGAAAAAATAAGCATAAGATTATCAAACATTAACAAAGGTCTTTTAACTGAAGATATTTTATCCTTCTTCTTTATATTCCACTAAAGCATGACGTCTGTTAAAGCACGGCTTAATATTAGAGATCAAAAAAGATAAAACTAATATACATTTAACAAAAAAGCTAGGAATGATTAGTAATTAAGCTTGTGGGGTATAGTATTGAGGTTGCTGAGCGCGGCTGGAATGAATTGCAAGGTTAGCATCGGCGTTATTTCGTAAAGAAAAGTAGCACTTTACCCGGCAATGAATTGCATGTCACATATGCCTATTTTTTGTTACGTTTTCGTTTTAAAAGGAACTTCATTCCTGAGCTCGTGTTTATCACACTGCCTTAGATTTTATTTCCGATATGCCACGAGGAATTAATTCCTTTAGAACCGCGAAGACTGACTAGTTTAAGCTGTTAAGCGTCTTTGATACTTGTGAAATATATTTACTGAGATAGGTATACTAGTCTTCAGCTGAAAACTTAGCTTCTCAAGATACAGACATTTTTCTCTGAATACGCAGTGACTTTTTTCACAAAAGATTCCTCAGGGATTCCTGAAATATTTCTAGCATTTCCTTTATTTTTCTTTCCTCGTACAAAATCAAGAGTAAATCTGTACTCCACAGCAAGCGCCTATTATGAACTTGTAAATAATACTAGGCGAAATTATTCCGGTTTCTTCCGGTAAAACACGATGTTCTCGCAAGCGTTGATCTAAGTTCTGACGTAAACGTTCCACTGCAAGTTTTTTGGCCAAGACCCAGATATGACTCGAATATTCAGAGGCTCATGCTACGAAATGGTGACATTTCGATTACAGGTATCCGACGTTCGGCAACAAGATTTAGCAGCTCAGTTTCGTCTGATAGCTATTATAACTAGGGAGCTGTTTTGAAATGAATGAGAACCTCCCAGCTCAGTTAACTGTGCTCAGTCAGTGACAAAGTTAGCAATGAGGAGCGATGCATTTTAGTCATAAGGAAACAGAAATCTTTCTGTTTTATATTTGAAACGCTACGACTTATTGAACATGAGCACAAAAAAAGCTAGTATAACGACAACCTACGATCAGGCTTTTAGAAATTCAAAATAAACTCCGTGAAATACAAATCGTGGCAAGTGGTGTTGTCATAGCAAATAGAAGGAAAAGAGGACGTACCTTATCAACACAATTTTAAGGTCATGCTGGTTGGTTGTCTTCGTCTTTTACGTTGGCCCTTTGTACCCAAAAGCGCTTATAGCGTTGTTCACTGACTGTAATCCTATCAAATCACGTTCTAACTATTGACGTTTACTTAAGCTTACAGCATTTCATCATAACTTGAAATTGAACCAAATTCAAGACGTTTTGATGATGATTCGCAAGCGTGGAGGTTAAAGGTGGTGGATTTACTCTAAATTCCGTTAACGAAGCATTAAGTGAGGTCATTTCCAAAGCAAACAGATACGCGAGACTTAAATGAAAAATATATGTTCCTTCTTCTTGTTTTTTTAACAATTTCTAATATAGAATGAAAAGACGAAGCATGAGAAATCGTGCTCTGGGGTGGAATTATGTGTCTGTGCTTGTACTGAGATGAACAGTTGTTTATTTTTTGATGCCAGAAGACAAGTAAAAGGTAAACTAGAAGGTAAAGCAACCATATTTCACCTCGATAACTCGTGACAGTAATAGCAGATAACCTTGAGGTCGACGGTGCGCTCATTTTAACCATTTCCCCCCCCCCCCCCTCACTCTCTCTCCATCAATGCTCCATTTAAGGGTATTTAAAGCTCGTCAAAGCTACACAGAAAGGAGAGAAGTTGCAAAAAGGATATCATGTCACCGAACATCGAACTAGGAACCTCGCGCACCAAAGACCGCGCACTACCCTTGCTCCTAGTGAAAGCCCTAGTATCAAGAAGTGGTTTAACTAAATTGTGTTGATGTTTTGTCTGGATTTTTTCAAACGAAAAGCTTCTTCTCGAAACTTCCGTGTTTTGATCATTCTTTTTGAAAGCTGAAAAGATGTTAATGGTTTTGCTTTTTACGCGAGTTTTTAAGGGGCTTATACTTAATTCCTGAAGCTTGTAAGTGATCTTTAATAGATTTTCAAGCTTATCTGAGTTGGTTCATTTGTTTTCGTGATGTGTAATTTACAGTAAAAAGTAGTGATGATGACTAGATGTAAATTCTGGTCAGAATTCACATGATTTTGTTGTTAACTTTTTTTGTTTTCTGGAAGCTGTGTTTTTAATTGCGTGCGCAAAATATGCCCACGACGTGGGCGAAATGATAAAAAATTAATAACTGATTGATTGCAAAATTAGTTCAACGTGGCACGTAGTCAGAGCTGGATCAACATTCTGTGAGTGGCAGTAATTCATAACCATTCATGCGTTCTAATTAAACTAATTTTTAGCGATCAATCTTTAGCTATTCCCAGAGCTGGGACATAAAGCTGTACAAGGCTTATCTTGCAACAAATGTTGATCGGGATACTAAACCATACACTAGAACTGAGTCCAAACTTCAAAAAAATAAGAACCACGATATTAAATCTTCTAATAATCGCATGAAAAGTAGCCTCCATATGAGATATGACCTGGGGCCATCTGGGCTCTTTAGCCGAACGGGTCTCTAATCTCGCTTGCCTTATTTTGCCGTACTTCAACTCTCCAATGAAACTGCCAAAGAATCGATATGGAGCGCGAATCCAGTATTTAGATGCCTGGAAGTCAATCTAAACTTGTTTGTTCCTGGATATAGGATTAAATAGCCCTTCTCCTGCTTGACATAACTCTTCCCTCGCAAGACTCGCAACCATATACGCTTCGAATTAGAACCGTTACGCCATAGGTTAATCATTCCGACAATCATATGCTTTTGATTCCTATTGAAAAACTAAAAATGGGCGTGATTCTTTCAGGAAAGCACGTGAAGCCCACCTTATCCATAAAGCTAAGACAATTGAACCTCTGGGCATCAATAAACGTGATGAACTGTTACTATATATAGTATATCTTTTATTTTTTTGTTATCTTGTCTTTTTAAGTAGCCACACCATACCACGTCATATAATGTAATTTCCGGTCATTATTTTACTTCATATATAATTCTGTAAATTCGTGACATCTCAATAAACCTGATGAAGACTGGTATTGGCCAGTCACGTTGTTTGATTAGTCCCTGCAAAAGTCTTCTCGACTGTAACCTTTTCAGTTTGAGCGTTTAATATTTATTAGAATTTACTGTATTGGGTTTGTGTCAAGATATTTTCTTCTGTTCGTAATCTGCAATGAATCTTGTTCGTAATAAACCTTTAACCTTGCCTCCAGGCATAGAAAAGCTGCATGTGGTGCAGGAGCCTGGTAGCCATCCGAGCCATTCCAAACAAAACTTCTTTAATAATACTAAAAACGTAATTCTAAACAGCCTAATTTCATTTATAAACGAAAATATTTTTTTTAAAAAAACAATTAAACAAAATAAGCGAACGATATGGTAATGTTCGATTAATGTTTAATAACCACCCATACCGGTAACTAATTATCAGATATCCGTGAAGAGAAGTAGAAGAAAAAATCGCTCTTCATAGCGCAGCGGAGCACCATGGGTAAGAAAATTTGGTAATCTATGCATCCAAGAAATTTTGATTCTGAGAAAATCGTCCGTACGTACGTCCACCCATTTATGTAAGCCGGGGTGAAATTTTTGCATTTCAAGTACCCGTGCGTTTCGACAGTAAATCGCACTGTCACCTGGACTTTTAGAGATAAAAGCAACAACAACGAAGCCGATTCTTTCTTTCGACTTAAACATTGGCGTGGATAACAGAGAAAGAGCTAGAGCCAGAGATAAGAAAACAAAGAAGACCAATTTCGTTTGAAGAATAACATGAAATTTTATAGCGGCTGTTAGAAAATTAGCCTGCGCAGCAAGCGTTTCCGTGCAGTTTAGGAGAAAAGAACGAGGGACGAGAGTTAAAGACCGCGCGAAAAATGGCGTAAGTAAAAGGGCGGGGAGGGGGTTTCATTTTTTCGCTCTTGTTTCATTTCTCGCGCGGCCAAAACCGAGAATCCCGTTCCTCGGTCTTTCTTTACTCCCGAAACCAAACGGAAACGCTTGCTACGCAGGCTATTAGAAAATGAGAATTGTTAGTGGGCACCAAGGGAAAAATGAGCGGCAGCAAAAAAAAAGTGAACAGGACCACATACAAATTTCCTCCATAAAACGTGTAACTAGGAAGTTTCTGGAAGTTTCACGTTGTCGTCGTGCAAAACAACGGCAAAGAAATACACAAAAAAAGTGTGCTACACGTACAAAGTTGGTTTTTTTTTTGCTACTTAGACCTATTGTTTTTTTTGCTGTTTTCGTTGCCGTCGCCGCTTGGTTAGCGTCACACGATTTTATATTTTGTCTCAGTAAACTATAGATATTAACGAGAGCCTCGCTTTTAGCCCTGGCTAAATCTATATATTAGCAGGTGTTTAAGTTACTTCATGATCCAATTATTGGATTCGATTAGGTTTTAAAGAGCTTCGTGATAGCGCGACAATTTCCAGTTTAAAAAAGAAAAAAAGTGCGGGGGACTGAGTCTTATTTAAGGCTAAATGATGAGTGAAGACTCGATGAGAAACAGTGTAGCGAGATTTGTTTAATCTCTATTTGTTTTCGTTTCCTTTTAAAACTCAGTTTAGTTTTAGCCGTTCAAAGTTCAATCATAAAATAAGAAAAGATCACTGTACTACTAAAACAACTTGCAAAATTTGAGACACTCCGACGACACTCAGTCGCTCTTATTTAACACCGCTGTTGATGAGATATAAAACCCCCCCTTTTTTGTTTTGAAAAACCTCAGAAAGATCAGAAACCATATCTGTCAGTCCGACTGGGAGCCGTCGGTCTTCAAGTTTATCACATCAAAACGTGATGTGATTCAGTATCGACCGAAGAGACGTTTCAAGTATTCCACGACCATGCACAAAAACAACTTTAAGGAACGTATGCAATTTTCTCTAGGCTTTAATTAAGGCCTTCATTTATGACTGGAATAGTAAGCCTCTAAAATAAAAAAACTGTGACCTTCTGCCTGTCATTTACATCACCGTTGTGAATGCCCGGATGTGAATAAGTGGTGACGAAAATTCCTCTTGGAATGACAAAAATCCAAGCAAGTGGGTTGTCAATGAAGGCTTACTATGTCTTAAAAAGCACAAAAATTTAAAAAGATGTTTAACTTAAGTTCATCGATTCTACTTGCAAAGTCTGAATCACAAAGACCTTTTGGTGTTAGAAGTTGCTCACATCTCAATTTTTATTATGTGCACCGTTACGTATTGCCTGAAACTAATCTATAAAAGACCATTGAAGAAGATAGAATCATCTGAATTACGTTTTTTTTCTAATCATCATATTCAACACATTACAAAACTGTCTCTGTTTAATCTTATCCTCATAGAACAAAAGGACACGTTAATATAGAATGCAAAGCTAACTTGATTAACCCTAGTGAGTGGGGACGTCTTTTGTTTACAGATTCAAGAGGCTTTTAGCATGACTTGATCAGATCACGTGATAAACTTTCGGTAAACACGAAAACAGTTCAATTTTGTTAGTACAAGCTTAAAGAGCGTATTAAAATTAGGTTACCTGAGAATTTTCTGTCGTGTATCTGAAAGGTAGCGATTGCAACGGCCGCCGAAAGCTGGAAGTGTTTGCCATCCAGTCACGCTTGCATGGTTTTCCATACAAATCCTTGTAATTTCGAAACTTTCAAAACTGTCATGAAATATTTCCTTAAGCATTACAGGGCTCAAATCTCCTTTTAATTTATAACATGAAATTTGAGCTCTTAAATGCGGAAGGGAAAGATTTAACGACAGTTTAAAAATTTTAGAGGGCCTGTTTACATGGAGGTGGGGGACCCTAGGTAGGTGAGGTAACATGTGGCGGGTCATTCCACCTATCACGTAAACGTGAGCAAATTAAAATGAGAGATTATATGCAAATGCAGGTTGCCCCAGCTAAGCGGGTTACCTCACCTACGAGGGCCGGGGGTCCCCCACCTCCATGTAAACAGACCCTAACTTTCAACGGCCGTTACAATCGCTGAAAATTCTCAGGTTACATAATTTTAATATGCTCTTTCAGGTTATGCTAACAAAATTTTTCAAAAGTGAACTGTTTTAGTGTTTACTGAAAGTTGATCACGTGATCACAGTCATGCAAAGAGCCAATTCTCTACCTACAGAGCGACGTAGGGACGGGTAGGAGAGAACCCTGGGAATGAGGTTGATTCTCTAGAAGAACTAATAACGCCAATAAAAGAGATAGTCGAATGGCTTGAACACAACATTTTTAACTGTACATGTTGTGTTTAAAAATAGTTTATGCCAAAGTTTGGTGATACAGTGTATGATAAAGTTGTATTTGGAGCCGAGTAATATTGGAAACTTTGACACATCTTTATCCTAGAAGACCTAAGCCATCTTGTACCTACTTAGCAGAGCCGAACTCAATTAAGCTCAATATTCCTTAATCAATGCGCAGGCTAATCGTACTTTGGAAGCTGAAAAAACAGTGCAGCCAGAGAACCAACCAGGGTGAGAAAAAAAATCCACATGAAAAGTGAGTCCATAATAGATGCAGCCATCATCCATTCTTCTCTTTGTTTCCCTTCCTCATCTTCAGCTTCCTTTGCTTCCGCTAGTTTTTCCAAGGCGTTGGCGATGGTTTCTTGTTTGTGGGTAATTGCTTTTGTTATTTGACTCGACTTATCATCAAACTCCTGAGAAGATGTTTCATTACCATTAAATGCCCCCAGGTGTTCCTTATCCATTGAAGCACCTCGAGATCTGTTTTCAAGAGGCCACTTAGGATTTTGCCTTTCCATGGGAATAAAGGACTCGAAATATCCATTTTCACTCCTCAAACGTCTTCTCTTTTCAAAAGGATTTTTGTTTTCCAACGGATTGTCATCATTTCGAAGCTTCTTGTGGAAGATCTTTCCCAAACATTGGAGAACGATAAAACGTAGCCAGTCTGGCATCTTATGAATTGAAGGGTTATTGAAATGGTACTTGAGAACTACACACGTGCCTATAAGAGCTAATCCAACCTGTGAAAAAAAGGTTTGTAAAGAAGCATTAGCATGATAACTACCGTGTAATAACGATGTTTCAAAACTCTCGATTCCATGCGAACAGTACAAGCATATTGTAGCATCGGGTGATACTAACGACCCAGTAACAACATTGTTTTAACCTAGCTGATCACATGAGGAGAGAGTCTGAACCAAACAAGTGAAAGATTCAATGTTACATATTGAGCGTCAGTCTGATTTTGGAGCCGCGAAGTGGCTTCCTGCCAGGGTGACTAAAACTCTAATCCAGCCAAAAACATTTTCATGAAAATATTTTTTATTTTATATTCCAGTAAGGGACAAGCACAAGGCATCTTCTTGTTTCATCAATATACCCCACTAATGTCCTTGCTGATGATGACGCACCTCAAAAATACAGCAGGAATAGAAGGTAGATATGATTGACACTGCATCAGATGTGGGTGGAATGATTTCAGCTACCAAAAGCATAAAGACAGTCATGGCGAGCAGATTGGTAATAACTAATGACAGACGTTCACCAGAGTCTGGTGGAAGGTAGAATGACAGGATAGTAAGACCTGAAAACAAAAACAGTTAAATTTAATTTGATTAATTTGAAGAAAATTACTTTTACTAGAACTTATTTTGTTAAAAAGCAAAGACAATTTATATACAGGCAAGTGCTCAGAAAGGAGTACATATCGGAATCTGGGGCTGAGAGGAAGTGGTGATTATAAAATGAAAAGTCTCTTTTCATCCACTACCCCCTCACCCCCCGCGACCTTACGGTTTCAAGCTTGGACGAAGGCGTCTTATCCCCAGAGCCTTGAACAAGAAGGTTAATAGGAGCAATTAATAACATGAGGAGATACCAAAGAAGTTGTACCTTAAAAGATAAATGATATAACGGTTGAGTAAAGACGTGGAAAGAGGAACTTTACACAGTTTACATGAACAGTATTTCGATCAACTCACTATGACTCAGAAGATGACTTGGGCACTGGTTGTCGAAAAGGGAGTCGGCACTCTCAACAACAGTCAGTATTCAGGACTACGTTCAACCGGACGATTATGCTCAAACTCAACTTATAAAGTGACTCCTGGGTTAAAACCTTTTACAAGATATGCCTTTTGTTAAGCTTTCGCGATGATTTTTCACACTGAATTTTGAGTATTTATTTTTTTAATTTTCCATACTTTTCTCACACTTAAAGCCACGCGTTCTGGAGAATATCTTACCTACAATGACGAGACATGGAATGACCATGTTAAAGAAAAAGAAAAGAGTCCTTCTGCGGATCCTCACTGTGTAAGTTATGTCAGGATATGGTGCATCGCAACAGACGTATTTTATAACGTTTCTTTTACAGAGAACTTCAATAAGTTCCCATTCGCCATTTAGTGCAAATTTCCCAATGTCAGCCTTAGGTGCCTCTGGTAACAAATCCAAATGAAATCCGTCGAATGTCCAAGATCCAAACTTCAGCTCACAATGCTGCTCATCAAAGGGGAAATATTTGACGTGAATTTTGCAGGAGCTCAAAAGAATAATCGGAGCAAGCCATAGATTTTGACCATCACTATTAACTTTTATCTGCTGATTGAACCTCTCCAAGGACCCATCGGAGCCAGCATCTGCACTGTAAAGCAAATCAAACGGAAACGTCAAGGGAATATACCATAGGAATTTAAATTTTTGTGTAAACTGGGAATTCAAAGAATTTTCCTTGGTAGGTTATTAATCATCCTACATAAAGTACAAGGACATGGTGCACAGATTCATCTGTGAATTCTTGAAAAAGGAATACTCGTGCAATTGCAAAAAAGCAATTTTGTTAGGCCATTTACGAAAGCGGCTCCATAATGATTTTAGCTCAAATTGGTCATCTCAGATACCTTCTCAGCCCATAGTTCGCCAAATTTTAAAGCGACAGAGCGTCAATTCAGTATTACTTCCCTGGTGGACTTTTTTTGCCCAAAATGTCAACTTACTTGTTGTAAAGAGCCAAATCTGGTTTCCATACATCTCCGGGGTTAACATTGATCTCTGATATCCCTCCATAATGTGTGGCATTCCAGCGAAGAAACGGGTTCTTCCATTTCTGAAGTAGAGTAAAAAGCGGTAAAGGTAGTTTAAAGAAGGTTGTTTAATTCAGCTAAGGCATTGGACTGACCAACTGTATTTTACTAACTGATTTCAACCAAGTCTTCGCGGTAAATTAGGGAGGGATTAAGAAACGAAATTTTTGCTTCTTGACAGCACGTAGTAGTGCACAGTTATCTCCGCTTTTCATTTCTTTCTGTAATTTAAGAACCGTTCACAATTTTGTCTTCTAAACTAGGACTCCTTTTGGTACTGGGACTTAACCTTTCGCTAGTACATAACTCTTTCTTTTTCAGCAAGTTCAGTTTATGTGGATTGCCAGGGGCCATCTGGAGCGAAGAAGTTTACATCTTTTTCATTAAACTCAGGTTAAAGCAGTGATAACCTGAGAAAACAGCCGGCACTTCGTGACGCTACCACTGAAAATAATGTCTGAGGAAAGAGCGCAGAAATTCCATACCGATGACGTGTCACTACCCTGATGTGGTTAGTGCTTCTGATTGGTTGAAGCAAATTTTCAACCAATCAGATCAGGGTAGTGACAGGTCATCAGTATGGAATTTCTGCGCTCGTTCCTCAGACGTCATTTCGCGCGGAAACTGTTGGTAGCGTCGCGAAATGTCGGCTGTTTTTCCAGGCTAAAATAGGATAGAAAATGAAAATTTAAAAACAAAAACGGCAACGCAGTAAAAGAAGCCTTAGTTAAACAGTAGCCATAACTGTTAAGCAGATCCAACAGCTGAGTGCTCACCTGTCTCACCCAAATACTTAGTTTCATCATCTCATTTCTTTCGTCCTGCCAAAGAGAAGAGATTTTTGAGGGATTTGCTGAGGAGAACAGTACGAAGCAAGTGCAACAATGAGAAAAGTAGTATAGCGTGCACCAGTTACCCATATTTTCTTTTGCGAAGTAATCTCAGTAACTTGGGAGGGAATACATTAATTGCTTTATTATTCATTCAAAATAATTCCTAGTTTAAAACCATAGCTAAAACATGCTTACCTGCATCGATGTTAAGGTCATCTTCGATAGTGTACGTTTAGGTTTGTCCAGTTGCGCAAATATTCTCCAAATAGTAGATGTCGCCCTTCAAGTTGTCTTCTTGCTGTTTTTGCGATGTTTTTAGCTATTATTTCGCCTAGTTCCAGCAGTAGTTCTTACTCCTGAAACGAATGAAATGTCCGCCATTTTTTATTTTCACAACCAAAGCAACTCAACGTCGTCCCCAGGTCTTCTCGGTAACCGTGCCTTAACCTGTAGCGGGCTGCATTTTTGACGTCATTTCGTCGTTAGCCCCAAAATTCTTCCAAATTTGGTCATCAGTAACTGGTTATGGTGAGTTATGCGTGTGCTTTTAGCCAATCAGAATTGGGGAAATATTTTGAAGAATAATAAAGTCAATGATGTCATAGCCTTGTGTCTTTATCTCATAAATAGAAAGGCTGTGAATTCTCATTACCTTCTCTTTTTCGTATTTCTATTAAATTAGAAATAAAAGACTCACCTAGGGAATAAGTGCCAACTCTCCTGTGACTTAAAATCGCTGAGTCGTAATGTAATTATGCAAGTTCTATTATCCGCCGATCTCATTGTTTAGCAAATTGTTCCAATTCCTGTTCACTGATTCTCGGCGACAAAATTTCTATTGTTTTCCTGAACCACCAACACCACATTTCTATTGTTTTCCTCTCCACTTCCACCACCGAAACATTTTTTGTCCTTTTCCTTCAACAGCCGACACATTTCTACAGTCAACTTTCCCTAAGGGGACCCCAGTTAGGTGAGGTAACAAGTGGCGGATCACCCCACCTACCATGTAAACGTTAAAGAGAGATTATATATACAAGTGGGTTACCCCACCTAAGCGGGTTACCCCACCTACCCGGGGTCCCCCACCTCCATGTAGACAGGCCCTAAGACGGACACCTTCAGTACCGGCCCGACTGTCTGTCTTAGAGAGGTGTCCGGCTTATAGAGATTCAAGGATACCAGTGTTTATAAGAAAATATAGCTGAACCTATTTGCAATGAATACACGTCTTTTATACTTGAGCAAAATAGTAAAAACTGAAACAATCAGAGGAGGCGGTACGTTTTAAAACGTGGGGGGCTCATCTTCCACTCAGCCATACGCATACTCCTACTCAAATTTTCCAAAATGCTCTTTTTAAAAGTTGTTCGTTGGCACAAGCAAACTTCTTTGCAATCTTCATAGTGTCTAGTGTGTCCATAATCTATTTGTGATAATGCATCAGTTGGCAGTTGTATAGGCGGACCTGCTTCATGATAATTCCTGGGTAGTTCTTTAGTCGCTCGAGGGCAGAAAATGAGCGGTCTGAAGTCGCCGATGTCACTGGTAATGTCAAATACATCCGTAAAAGTGTTTTCTTCACTGTTCAATCAAACGTTCATTACAAGCCGACGTTCACGATTAAGGCTGTGTTCACACCATAACAGATGGCTTTTCGTGCCCACAACAAAAGCCATCCGGTATATTATGAACACCTATTCGATATATGACTCCATGACTCTCCACTTTAGAGATCGGCGCGGCGCAGTTTCGCTCCGTTACAGCAATCGCGCAGAAATCACCGTTCCTATGTGTGATGTGGTATTCGTGCCCACAACAAAAGCTATCCGAGGTAGTGTGAACATTGCCAGTTAGTGCATGGTCTGGAAGCGAAACAGCGTGAGTCTATTGTTGCTGTTGTATTAGAAATACAAGAAAGAAGATATAATGAGAATCCACCACATTTCGTTCATGACTGAGATAAAGACAAAAGGCTATGACATCATCTACGTCTGCGCAAGGTAATGAGATTCTTGGAGTAAAGGAGCAAGCTTACACTACTGAAAACAAATTATATAACGCGTTAATGAAGTTGAAGTTTGAAGTTTTAAAGTAACTAAACAATAATTGGTGTAAGATTTTTTGGTGGTTTGGACACAAGATTTCTATCGCATAACGTAAAGAAAAGGCCAAAACGTTTGGACGACACCCGTTTACCGAGCCTGTAGTTACTCTTACATAGTTTTGTTTAAAACTGTGATAGTTTTGTTTGTTTCTCATACTTACAAGATCAATAAGCTGGAACAGGGAAATTCCAAGTTCTACTGTCACATTGTCTTCCATTCTTAACACTGGTCTAATGCGTTTATCATAACCATCAAACAAATCACGAAACAATGACAGTTCCACGCGTTCAGGAGACATGTGCGTTATTCCCTTGGTTGAAGAGGCATGCCGTATTGATCGAGTAGTAACTGGTTGCTGGGTTTCTGGTCTCTCGGATGAAGGTTCCTTCGTTGTGGGATGAGTCGGAAAAGCGTTGTTGGCCGCTGTAATAAGCAAAACGATTTCGATTGCATGTTAGCTTAAAATAATACATAAATTTAGACATAGTAACGATTTCGATAACAAGGAACCATCTTTTCAAAACTAGTGATCGACGAGAATGTTAGCCTGCGATTATGCCCTCTCCCTTTATCTCTGCAATCTGTTTTCGGTTATTTTTTTTCCCTCTCGAGCCGAAGAAGCAAAGAAGGAAAAAATATATAAATAAATACCGACTGATCTCAGGTTACGAGAATGTGAATTTTGACCACGTTGATTCAATCGCCCAAAAATTGAAGCACGTTTAAAATAAAGCACGTTAAGTTTGGTTCCCAATTTTTCTCCACTACAAGTAGATACTTTAAGACATTTATTACGATAAAGTACACTTAGAAAGTACTGGGATGAATTTGGCAACCAAAACAGTATTTATCTTCCTATTACCTTCTACCAGTTTTGGATGTCTACAATTTTACGTTCGTTCGATTCAGAGGGAATGCTTCTCAGATTTTAGATCCAACAAAAGTAAAACTGGCAGCTCCTTCCTTGGCCGCGGGACGAGCGATGAAAACTAAGCGGATACATTAACTGATGATTAAGCTAAGAATGATTTTGTTGAGACATTTCTGACCCAGAATGTTTAAGTAAGGTGCCCTGTTTATGTTATTTTGAGACACAAAATGTTATTTCAAAATGAGCCGGAACTCCCTGAACCGTTTCTTCTCGCAGGAGGAACAAGAGACCGGACTGCATAGAAAGGCAGAGAGTTGGAAATAAAAACCGTCCAAACGCATTGACAAGGAAACAAAAAAAAAGCGGATGCGGAACCAACTTTTCTGATCTGCTCCGTTACGAAAGAGCACAATGGCTGCCCATGGACCTGTCTTGGACCGGAACGGGGTGAAATTGGGACGAGTCAACGTGCCTTTTAAACCCGAAACATTTTATCTGAAACATCTGTGTTTTATACGAGCCTTTTCATTTTTCCCCTCCTCTCTTGGCTGAAATGTTCGCAAAATTTCGGAAGTGAAGAAGCAACTGTATGTTGCCAAACTGTAAAGACCTAACCGTTGGAGTTACAAAGAGCAATTCATTGCGTTCATTGGCAGAACTAATTCAAAACAAAGCAAAGGCCAAGTCAATAAATAAATATACAATGTCGTATCATATATCACGTTCCTTTATTTCCTCACCAAAAGTTGGAAAATATTTAACATCAGAGATACCCAAGGAGGAAAATGCAGTGCAATGGGGCAAACAGTAATTTACTTATTTTAAATCAAAGAGTAATTATTCGGTGGGAATCATACTTCTATTCCATCCTCTGCACGTTTGTGCGTACCCATGGAATCAGTTATCCTTTATCATTTTGCTTAATACAAATCTTATCGCTTGTTACTGTCATCACGAACTGGGCAGGTTTGGCCTCTTAACAATTTTAAATAACTTTGCGAAAGCATTTTTAAACGTATTAGCTGTGAATTTATTACAACTTATAAAATCGAGAAGAGAACTGCGCGCCCTAGTTCGAATAAACGACTGTTTTAATACTTGATCCAGGAAATCTATACAGTGATCAGGGTTTCACTCAAAACTCCTGTTTTTGTGTTGATAACCAGATTACGGATGCGGTGACTTAAGTAATGGACTTTTCCGAGACAGAAAAAAAGGGACATGCAAATATTACTTTAGTAAAAAATTCAACTTCCTGCTGGCATATTCTTTTCAAACTAAATTTTTTATCTCTTTACAGATGCTAAAAGAAAAAAAAGATGCATAAGGATGACACAAAACAGAACCTGTGTACAGTACAGCATAGTACTACAGTAGTACAGTACAGAAGTGATGGTCATACAAATGTTGATATATGAAGGTTGCATGCAGACTTGTTTGAGCTTTTGAATGCGGCCTGCCAAGAGGGTCTACCAGGTGGACTCTTCCGGTCAGACTTAAATTCTAACATTTCGGTTTTTGATTCTTTCATAACCGGGTAGTTGTGTTTAGGACACATAAATCTGAAAGGACGAGCATCTCAGACGAATTTCACAGTAGATCTCAGTGATTTAAAAAGATATGGTCTGCTGTAGTTTGGCACGTAGTTCCTTTACGATAACATTTTGATTCACAAGTGAAATGAAACAAATTTTCTTAATATACTCTTAATATACTCTTAATATATTCTTACCCTAAAGGTTAGGATATTTGGCAATCTTTCAAGGTTAAATTTCATTAACCACCCTCTTGGAAAGGCATTATTAAGCTTGTTAAAGTAAACCCTTTTTTGCGCAGGGATTGCGATCGATCAACACGAAACGAACCATTAATTACATCTCTATATATGCACTTTGTGCTTTTACAGCAAAATAAATACTGAGGCAGTTAACTTTTTTAGAGTTTCATGACGTTGTTATAGAAGACCAAATGGGCATTATCAGACCCTTAAAATGTTCTGTTTTCGAGATATGGTACACAGAGTAGCTTTATCACTTAATATTTATGGAAATGAACGTGTATTTACTCTAAACAGAATTTTATGTAAAGCAAACACACAAATGTTTCTTGTTGCCCGAGGTTTTTTAGAAAACAAGAGGTTAGTGAACACTAACACGCTTTATAAGACTAACCTTTTTACTCATAAAACTCAGAATCTAATTATTACTTACCGGCATTATGTGAAAGCAAAACCGTTAAAACGACGACAAAAGTAAGCGTGTTAATCATTTCTAAGTCCCTTTTCGCTCCAGAGGGCCTATATCTGTTGAATCCTGATGTTTTCTGACTGGCCGCACAAAGCTGCCTGCCGTCAGTATTGTATTGTAACATTTGCCGACAGCAGATTGATAACTGGGTATGTGAATGGGTTGTCATAGTTTATCTTGTTGAATTTGGTCCCATTATCTGTCAAAACTACAATGCAGTTATTCTAAGAAGCTTAAGAAATTAGCTACGCATACACCACCCGCTGCTTTCCAAAAAGCATATTTACCCTGGCGGTTTTACTTGATGATTCATCTGCTTTTAGAAAATCAGGAAATCAGGGGTAAATTGATAAAATTGATTTTTGAAACTTTTAATTGACTCGTAAAATATTTCTTTTGAGGACTGATTATGTCATGTCACCTGAGCAGTAATCTTGATGTTCAATCTAAAGGGCACAGGAAGTCGACTTCTGATCAGTTACATACTTAACATTGCTAACAGAAATGCAAAAATATTTGAACAAGTTGGACAGATGTAGATAAAAGTGTTGATTGCTTTAAATAAACATTAACTTTGCCTATGTAACTGTAATCAACTTGTACCAACTGAAATTCAGAGCAGCTGTAAAACACTCATTTTACATGCAGTGAACTCAGTGCACTGGGTCAGAAACTTTCTATAGAAACCAAACCTTTCATAACATGGAATGCCTTTTTAAAACTGAAAGATCGTTCAAACGGAAATATTTTCTAAAAAAACATGCCTATGAAACTTTATCGGCGTTGAAATTTTCTAATTTTCTTGTTTATTGTCAGTGTTATTCCTAGCTCATTGCTACATTCCTCTTTTTCACTTTTCACCATCATCCCTCATTCTTCGGCATCATGTGGTAAGACGCTAAGTGAGTTTACCGTAGGAATCGGGGTTTTTTTTAATTAAGCCTATCCATCTATCCCTCCCACCCCTAAAAAAGTGAGCCGCCAGCTCGCAGATTACTGGTAAATGTAGACTGCTCGTAGTCCGCCCTTTTCAGTCTATGGTAAATGTAGCAGCGTGTTTGAGATAAGCATCAAGGATGGGTAAATGGCGCGTTCTGGCTATTGCGTGGCCTCTGTTGAGGGGGGTGGGGGGGGGGGGTATTCTGTTCCCTTTTATTTTGTCCAAGACTGTGGGGGGGGGCGTAGTTGTAAATAGAAATGTTTCACATTATTTGGACCATCAAAGATTTAGCAGAAATTAGTAGCATTTCTTGATAAAAAGGTGTGAAAAACATTGGAACGGCTTCAATTGTTGTGTGTGAGGTTGGGTGTGTTGTTGTTCGTGTTGTTGTAGTGTGGGTAGAGGTGGGTGTGTGTTTGGGGGTGGGGGGGGGGGTGGGGGTGTGGTGGTGTGGGCGGTGGGGGTGGGGGGGGGGGGGGCGGGGGGGGGGGGGGGGTATTCTGTTCCATTTTATTCTGTCCAAGACTGTAGATGGGGTCGTAGTTGTAAATAGAAATGTATCTCATTATTTGGACCATCAAAGATTTAGCAGAATTTAGTAGCATTTCTTTATGAAAAGGTCTGAAAATCATTGCAACGGATTCAATTGTTATTATTTTTTTTTTTTGCCGATTCGGTAAAGAGCATTCATTAGTTGCGCGCAGTACGGTATTACAATTGATCAAAGATGTTTCTATTTTTACACAACTAAAGGAATTTTGCTGGAACAGATTTTGAGAATTTCATCACGTTTTGGAAGAAATCCCTGAAAACCTTTGTAAACACCTTTGTATTGTAAAGTATAATGCAGAGTTTATCGCGTTATCTGTGAGTCTGTCTGGCCAAAGGTTAGGCAAGGTTCGCGCTGTTTTGCTAGTTTCTTAAACCAAGATTCACAGATTAAGATCAAAATTACGCCACCATTTTAACTCCTCCTTGCTTTAATTAAATTTTAGTAGACCTGCTTACTAAAAGCTCTGTTCTCGATTCATTTTTTGCCTGAAGACAAGAAGCTTTTTATTTCGCCTTTCAGGAATTTGACTACGACGTACCAAATGTTACTTTTGTAAAGCTATTTAAAGGTCATTTTGCAGAATTTGGCCACTTTGAGTCTAATAACCTTGAGGATTTTTCGCAAATAATCCACTGCTGATCGCGGAATTCAACATATGTGGAATTACTCAGCATGCATGTGATATAACATCTGTAAAGGAATCTTGCATGTTAACCCGCATTGAGCAAATCAGCAAGTTTCATGGTCGAACGAAAAACCTTGAATTGATTTTTTTGGAATTTCTAGTTCTCGCTGTAGCAGATTTGGTACCATCTTTTTTTACTGCGGGCAAGGGCAAGGACACGAGGTCTCTCTTCAAAATAAACTTGATGTAGTGCGGTAAGAACATAGTTCTAAACACTGCGTGCAAGTAAAAATTATCAGCAAAAACAATTTAATAAAACCAAGATTCGCTTTTCAAATCAGTTTTCTAATAAAGTAATATAACTAAAATTTCTTCTCGAAGACTTTCTTGTTAAAGAATCATCCATCCATCTTGGTCGGCCATAAAGTGGCGAAAAAGGCAGCGCACAGGCTGACGCCAAACTTCAACTTAAACAAACTAGATCCGTTTATGAGACAATAAATTTTGATTTAATTTAGCACAAACATCTTAGTAAAGTGATAAAACAATTTTGTTAAGTTGAATTTCTTTGCTTAACTTCATCAATTCGACAGGAGTGTAGCGTCCATATACACACATATGCCCGTGCATACATGTAGAGCTGAAATATGGAAAAAATCTATATTTCTATATTTCCTGAAAAATCCCTAATTGGTGAAAAATCGTGAGCAGCGGCTGATGCTCTGTAAGCAATGTAAACCTCCGACCATACAGATACGAATGGAACTTTTTCAGTCCAAACACGATGGATAAAGCCCCTTTCGCTATATGGAAATAGTTAAAAGCAATCGGCTTTTCCTCGCCATTCTCCATAAAATGGGAGGTAACAGCTCCTACCCCGTAAGGTGTTGCATCACAGGCGAGCAGAAGCGGCTTCTTCAGGTCATAATGGACCAGCAAAGGAGAATCTTGTATCTGCTTCTCACTCTTGAAAAACGCTTTCTCGCACCTTTCCGTCCACCTCCAAGGTCTGTTCTTTTGCAAAAGGTCATGAAGGGGAGGCAGCGTAGTCGCCAGATTGGGTAAGCACTTGCCAGAATAGGTGAGAAGTCCCAGATACGACTTTAACTCCGTGACATTGGTAGGACTCTTGGCTTGAAATAGCTGGTGCACTGAGACTTCAAACGGCGGGTAGCCGTTTGTAACGGTACAAACCCTTGTGTGTGATAATTGTTAGGTACTTCTGTAAATCTTCATCCAGCTCAACCTGCTTATAGGCGTGAGATAAATCAATCTTGCTAATTTTGATTTTTGTCCACCAGCTAATGTCGCAAACAAATCTTCTGTATTAGCACACACAATCGCTACATATACACACATATGCCCGTGCATACATGTAGAGCTGAAATATGGAAAAAATCTATATTTCTATATTTCCTGAAAAATCCCTAATTGGTGAAAATCAGCACACACATCGCTACACACTCTCAGTGAACCATCTTTCTCTTGGCGACCAACACTACTGGGGCGGCCCAGTCCTTTCAGTCACTTTGTAAATAATTCCTTCATCCCCCAGTCTTTGAAGCTCCTGATCTACCTTTTCTTTAAGAGCACATGGAACGGGTCTTGCTTTCAGGAAGATGGGCTGTGCACCTGAATGGAGGCTTAATACAGCCTGATGTGTCCATGCGACTTCTCAAACTGGGCTTCATACTCAGCAAGGATATCCTCCAGAGCAGGCACGCACTTGAGACAAAGATGGTGGACTAATCCATGCAGTTTCCCGGCATTTCTCAAGCCAGTTACGCCCAAGCAACACAGGCTTTTCCCCTTGAGCCACCACAGGAGGTAGCTGCATTTCCTGGGTCTGATACCTCACAGCGACTTGAAGTTATCCCAACAAGGGTAATGATCCACCATTATTTTTTTTCAAGTGGAACTACGTTGGCTGCAATTTAAGATGCTTAAACAACTTCTTATATTCCACCTCAGAGAGGATGGACACCGCTGATCCCGTCTCGACTTCCATGCTGACTGGCTTACCCTTCAACAAAAACTAAGCGTAAAACGTTGATCCACCTTGTTCTTTAGACTTGAGAGTGTACAATCCCTGTCCAGACTATTCAGTAGTACTCATGGGTAAACCAACCTCCAAATAACGCACCGATTGCACCATCCCTTTCAGTATCGCTCGTTTTAGCAGGGTGAACCTTTGTGTGACACTTGTAACATTGAACCGACCTGGTTCAGCACCCTGATGGAGAATGCTTTCCACCACAACGAAAACAAATCACAGCTTCCTCATTCGAATGCCCTGAACTGACATATTTGCCTTCCTTATTAACGGTATCGTCCACGTGCACACTGGCACAGGTGGACAATAAAGGTACGATCACTGCAAGAAGACATCAAACTTGCACTGATACTGAAACCGGCTATTGACCTGAAAAAATATATCCTAGCTAAGCAAGAAACACGGAGAACATCTACCGGGAACTTAATATTTGATGATGATTCGTTGAAAGGTTGTCAATGGATATGAAGTGCATGGTCTCCAAGAAAGAAGGAATATGGAGTAGGTATACTCATGGCCCCTGATGTGAAGCTGGAAGCTTACAAGGAACACCTGGCTGCACGAATAATTTCAGTTAAACTCCGTGGTAAGAATTAACTTAAGATTAGTTATTATAAACGTATATGCACCAACGGACGTAACCTAATCTGAATCGACTAAGAATGCCCTCTATACAGCCCTAAACAAAGCGAATGAAGAACTCGATCACATTCCAAGCTATAAGTCGGTATAACATTAGGTGACTTAAATGCCTCTATCTCTACCAAAAGTAAAGATAGTGTCTCATGGCGCTCAATACTAGGCCACAACAACGCTAACAAGATCGACACAAATGAAAATGGCGAAAGATTACTGAAATAGTAGTTGAAAAACAAAATATAAAGATCATCAACTCCATATTCAGAACAAAACGAATACATCGTGAAATTTGGAAGCATGCTG